TTGTCTTAGTTATTTTTCTATTACTGTGATAAAACACCATGACTGAGGCAGCTTATTAAAGAAAGCATTTAGCTAGGCGGTGTGGTGGTGCACGCCTTTAATCCCAGAACTCAGGAGGCAGAGGCAGGCAGAGCTCTGTGAGTTTGAGGCCAGCCTGGTCTACAAGAGTTAGTTCAGTCCAGCTATAACTGTTATACAGAGAAACCCTGTCTCAAAAAACAAAACAAAAGGAAGGCATTTAATTTGAGATTTACTGTTTCAGAGGGTTAGAGTCCATGACCACAATGGTGGGGAGCGTGGCAGCAGAAAGTTATGGAGCAGGAGCTGTAGCTGAGAGCTTACATGTAGACCTACAAGCACAAGGGAGAGAGAGAGAGAGAGAGAGAGAGAGAGAGAGAGAGAGAGAGAGAGAGGAGAGAGAGAGAGAGAGAATTGGTTATTGGTTCTGGGTTCAAAAACAGAATGATTAGGCTATCTTTCGATTAGGCACACATTTATACCTCAGACTTGCAGAAGAATACATTTCCAGGAGACTGATTTATGAGCACTCCTTCAGCCTCTCCCACTCTGGGATTCTACAATGGCCACTGTGGAAGAGTATGCTGCCTAAAAAGCTCCGGATGAACATGAGGAGGTAGGTGTGACTCCATCTAGAGATCAGCCCAGGGCTCTTCCAGAGTTTGAGAAGGGACCTGGAGGAAGAGGGCAGCAAGAGACTGGGTTGTCTCTCTGGGTGTGGCTGAGCTCAATAAACTTCTGATCTCACAATCACTCCTGAAATGCAAGGTCAAAATTTTAAACCTTGGCCTTCCACAAATAACTCTCTGCATGGGAACTATATTCCTTAGGTGGAGAGGCAGCCTCGGGGACACTAACCCTGAATAGCACCAGACATGCAAATATCTGGTTGGTGCAGCTTTCCTGTCAGGGCCAGGCACTTCTGGACCCCAAATTTCAAAGCTGATTGCTTGGCACCATGCTCACCTAGCTGGATAGGTATTTCCTTCTTGTGGTGGTTTGAATAAAAATGACCCACATAGACTCATATATTTGAATCCTTGGTATCCAGTTGGTGGAACTTTTGGGAAGGATTAGAAGGTGTGGCCTTGTTGGAAGAAGTGTGTCACCAGAAATGAAGGTGAGCTTCAAAATTTCAAAAGACTGCACCATTTGTTGTGTGTGTGTGTGTGTGTGTGTGTGTGTGTGTGTGTGTGCACGTGCATGCATGTACCTGTCTGCCTTGTGGTTGTAGATTAAGATATGAGCTATCAGTTATTCCCTCACCCCACCGTTATGGACTCTAACCCTCTGAAATGATAAGCCAAATGAAATGTTTAATTTTATAAGTTGCTTTGGTCATGGGGCTTTATCACAGCAATATAAAAGTAACTAAGACACATCCTCTGTCATTTGAATGTTGACTATTACTCCCCTCCCCTTGTCTAAAGTTAGCTGTCAGGTCCTGGGGAATCCATGCGTTGAATTTGGTAGTAGTGATCTTGAATGAGGAACAACTAGACTCTGTTTCTACTAGCCTCCGGTTGCAATTTAGCACTTCCTCTTGCTTAAATGTAGAGGGTAAATCCCCCAAATTTCACCAGTTATGATTGGAGACTGGTGTCTCAGCACAGCTTGGGCAGTGAACACATGCTGGCTTTTGCTTTGAAATTGCATGCATGCTGGGGCCTGCCCCAACCTTCCCTTCAGTATACTTATAAGAAAGTTTGTCCTATGATTGATTGTTGGATAATCACACATCAGTATAGCCAATTCCTTCGGTAATGTTAGAAATTTTGTTCTATACATTTAAAACTTTTGAGAGGGCTCCAAAGACTTCTTGAACTCACATGTGGCCTCAACAAGTACTGCCTTCCCTTGGCCTCTGCTGGGACCACACAGAGCTGTAGAAGAGCTGGCCCCATCCCCACCTCTCTAGCCTTGCTTTCTGCCACAGAGGATACTAGGTCACCTGGCCATGTCCACATATCAGGTTCCTCATCTATGCTGTGCTGGTACTCAAGCTGGACAATGTGTAGTTGACATCTCCTTTCCTTCTGTGCTGAGACTGTTGCCCTTTTGTCATTTTGGGTATATTTATGTCCTAAACAGAGTGTGTTGAACTGTGGCTCTACCATGGTATAGATTTTGTGTGTTTATAGCACAGAGTAGGAAGTTCAAGGAAAGTGAAGATACTCCAAGATAAGTAACAGTAGGAAGTAAATGCTGAGTACCTAGTGACTTGCTTCCAAGAAAGTGAAAAGCAGAGGAGCTCCTTGGTAGTGGAGAACCCCAACATACATGATCCTGGCTGAAGACCAAGCTATATCTCACCTTCGAAAATCCATGCTGTAGCACATGTCCTTGGCATGTGGCAAAGGCACTTGAAGGCTTGGAAGATGACTCAGTTGGTAAAATACTTGCCCTGTAATCATGAAAACCTGAATTCAATTCCCAAGAACACAATCTCCACAATCAATCTCTCTCTCTCTCTCTCTCTCTCTCTCTCTCTCTCTCTCTGTCTCTCTTATATACACACACACACACACAGAGAGAGAGAGAGAGAGAGAGAGAGAGAGAGAGATCTGACACCCTCTTCTGACCTCCACAAGCACAAAGCAAGCACACATGAAGTACAGTCATGCAAACATCTATACACATAAAACACTTTTTTAGAAAACCAGGCATGGTGGTGAATGCCTGTAATCTCAGTGCTAGGGAGGTAGAGATGGAAAGATCACCGGGGCACTCTGGCCAGTCAGCCTAGCCTACTTGATGAATTCCAGGCTAGAGAGACACTATGTCTTGAAAAATAAGTAAACCATAACAACAGCACAGAGATTATTCTCTAGACTCCAAGAGCACAGCTGTGCACCTGCACAACAAGAGGCATTGATTTCCATGGCCATCCTCCTGATGAGAAAAACCCTACACAGCTCTCAAGTGAGTGACCTTCATGGAAACACTTAATGCTGAAACCAACTACAAGTAAGAAAGACCTGCAAAAAGACAAACAATAATAAAATAAGACACAACGTTCTATCATGAAGTATTCCATGATACAGAAGAAACACTAAGAGAGAACCAGTGCCATCCTGCTAGTGTCTGAACCCAATTAAATGTGAGGCATTAGTGTTTGCTTTTTAGTGACAGGGCCCCCAACAACCTGTAATAGGGAGTCTCTGGAGTGATTGGGCAATGACTTGGATATAAATTGAACCTGCTCCAAAAAAAACTGAAACCCTCACATGCTATAGACTTAGTCCTCAGTGCAACTAGGAGGGCACTGACCATGAGTGGGTTTACTCCCTCAGAGGATTCAGAACTGAATGGACTGTCTAGGGGTGGTCAGCCATAGAAAGCGGGGCCTGGCTGGGAAAAATGAAATGCTTTTCAGTTATGTCCTTTCTGGATATTCATTATCTCAGCTCTTTCTCTTTCCTCCTGGCTGTCATTACATGACAGTTTCCTCTCCCATAGTCCTGCTACCAAGATTACTGAACCATCGGGCCACTGTGGTCAAGTCAGCCAACCAGACTGAACTCCAAAAACTGTGTGCTGAAATAAACCCTCCAGATGTTTATGTCAGGGATTCTGGCATAGCCACAGAAAACTGACTGGAACTAACTACACATAGTCTATAGATTTTACAAGAACTACAAAATGCTTAATAAAGTGAGGAGTTAAAGCGTTCTCCTCTCATCACTATGGTGACCTTCTATGGGATGCCTAGTGTGTAGCCAGGCTGACTACACAGGAGGTTCCTTAGTACAGAAGAAGATGTGTCTGTCAGTTTGCATCGAAATGGTGATCGTTTAGATATATAGGGCTAAGGGGATGTAATATGTAAATTACCTACACCTGTTTCTTCTTTCTTCAGTATTACTACCTGAAAGTTTAGGAACCCGTATGACTGACAGTGCCATTTCTACTGGCCAGTACCAGTCTGTGGCAAAGAGCTCCAACAGTAAGGGGCACACAGGGGCTCTGAGTGTCAAGGGTAAAGCCCCACCCCCTCCTGTTTCACAGTGTCCCACACACCCTCACAGGGAGGGAAGGAAAAGACACGCCACTGCAAAGTTACAAATTTATTGGTCTGGAAATAAATACAAACATGTCATTAAGAAACTGCCCTGGAAAGATGTGTACAATGGTTTCTTGTCCTCTTTCAGGCACCCTGGTCTGGATCCCTGATCTTTCTCTACAAGGCTGGAGGAAGCTTCCATGGTAGGAGTTGGTGGGTAAACTGGTCCTTGCCTCCCACGCCTCCTATAGGGCGTGACTACCTTCCTCTAGCAAGTCCAAGGTCCTGGAACTCACCAGGCCTTGATAACTGACTTTCAAAGGTCTAATCTGACCACATTTCCTATAGGGAAGTCGATGGTTAGCCACGGTGAGATTCAAAAGACAGTAGTACAGGGCATGGGGGCATTAGGCTGGCATCGCCACTAACCCGGTCAGCAGGAAGAGGGGCAGCAGGAGAGGCAAGTGACTTCCCATGGAATGTACAGCTTCTGCAGCCACCTTCTCAGCCCATCCCCCACCAGAGGGCATGGCTCACTCTGAAGAACCAGCAATGGGTCAGTTGAGAGACATTTAGTTATCAAGTTTAGAGCCAGCCCCAGATGTCAACAACGGGAGCGTTCACTGAAATCACACCCACCAGATTCTGGCACTTGGGTTCTTCTATAAATCACCCAATCCTATACCTACTGCAACCCCAGCCCTTTCCAGTTTAGAGACTCATCCCAGACAAGGATCATTGTCACCTGTTGAGTTCTCTGTCTCAAGGAATGCAACTACAAATCAAAACCACCTTTCCTGGGGACAAAGGTGTAACCCACTCATTCACACTGTGGGGTGGGAGCCAAGGACAGTGGGGCAGATAGGCTGTAGGGCAGGAGTCTTAAACCACTGTGACATCCAATATTTGCTGGATCACTTTCTTTACATAGCCCGGACTTTTTTTTTTTTTTTTTTTTTTTTTTTTTTAACCAGTCTCCCCTGCAAATTAAAAAAGGTTGTCAGAAAAACAGGCTGTGGGTTTTGGCATCCAGAACTTTAAATCCAATTCCTTCAAGTGAACTGTGTGGACTTGGTTTCTTCTACCTGCCCTAGATCCCGCCTCTTTCCCTCCTCATCTTGTTTTTCCTTCTTAAAATAAGACTCCCAACTTCCCTGCCTCACTCCCCTTTCAAATCAGAAATAAGTTTGTTTCCAGGAAGGAGTTTAGTGGGGGAGGAAACAGGAAGCAGGGGGGAGGGGCTGGCAAAATGCCCGTGAACCAGGATGCTGCTGGCTCAGCCTGGGCTTTGGGCCAGGCAGTGTTACAGCTCTACTTTTCTTAGTTTTGGCAGTTTGGTGTCTGAGGATAGAGAGAGGGGCCACCGGGGCCACTTGCTAGCAGAACAGAACTCCGAACTGCTTCTTCCTTTGTCCACCACCACCCACTCTGGTCCCGGGTAGCAGCCTGAACAGCTTGGGTCTGCCACCGCCAGAGTTCATTTGTAGAAAAGCAGCTTTGGATTAATACCGCATTAGCGCAGGGTGGCGGGTGACAGGCAGGGGTTGGGTTGTAAGGGAGAGCCCACCAGTCCACGACGACTGATACGCAGACTGCCTGATGCGCAGACTGCCTAGCAGGACACTTCCATCGACTTGGGCCCGGCATTGTTCCCAGTGGCACCCGAGTTGGGGGTGATGTTGAGGCGGGCATCTTCACTGGTGTGGGAGCGGCTCCGGGACCCCTCGCTGGTGTGTGAGCGGCTGCGGGGGCCATCGCTGGTATGGGAACGACTGCGGGGACCCTCCAGGGATGTGACGCTGGATCCAGAGGCTGTGCGGGACCGCATCAGGCGGGTCATGCTGGCAGAGGGCACTGGGAACATAGAAAACAATGTGGTTAGGATATGGGAAGCCTCTACAGGTGTGGGACCGTAGCCCTGTCTCAGCCATGGTGTCCTTCTAAGAACCCAAATGAACGCCCCTTCCCTATTGCTTTCATTCTTGGGGCCATCCACCTTCTATGTTCCTCACAAAGGACCTAGATTTGGGAAAGGCATACAACGATCACATGGCGAGAGACCAGAGCCATTATGGGTATGAGCCACAGTCTGTTATGTGCTTATTAGCTGGGTGGCTGCGGGAGAGTCACTTCTGAAGCTTTCCTGTCCCTGTCTGCAAAATAAAGACCTTCGTATGGTCACAGAACCTTCTCTGCAACATACTGTTAGGAGGCAGGAGAACATGGAGGCCAGCAAGGCTAGTCTCTGCCCATCCTGGGAAGGACCCAAGGTCTCACCACATGGTTCATATGGAGATGTTAGCAGTCTGTCTACCTTCTAAGATCCTGCTAGCTCTCAAGCTCCAGCAAGACTCCGACTGCCCATGACACAGCAGGGAACTGACAGAATAGAACAAAACGATCCTCACCCTGTCTGGGGTTGCAGCGCTTCCCCCAAATCCATGCCCACTTAAAACCTCAGAATACGACCTTGTTTGGAATACTTTTTAGAGATATTTAGTTAAGAAGAGGTCCTTCTAGATTAGGATGAGCCCTAAACCAAAAGCAGTCTCAATAATAATAATAATAACAACAACAACAGCAGCAGAGGGCCAAACCCATATGGATGGAGACTGGTAGGATGCAGCCACAAGCCACACAAGGCCTCTGACTGATGCAACAGAAGTCAGCAGGCAAGAAAAGGTCTTGCAAAGTAAGCCAGCCCTGACCACACTTTGACCTCATACCTGCAGCCTCTGAGCTTGTGGGGAAATGCATTCCTGATATTTAAGTGCCCTATGGGGGGGGGGGGGATCTCTTAGGATACTTACTGGGGGGATTAATGCCACTCCCCAATGAAGCAGTGCCCTAGAGCAGACACCCAAATTTGGATAATTGGATTAGTCCTTGCTCATCCCTCCTTAAAGAATCAATGTTGTTTCCTTCCTTCCTTCCTTCCTTCCTTCCTTCCTTCTTTCCTTTCTGTCTTTCTTTTTGGTAAGGATCCATTAAGTCCAGGAAGACCTCCAACTCTATGTGTCTGAGATGACCTTGAACTCACTGAACATCCTTCTGCTTCTGCATCCTAAATACTGAGGTTACAAAAGTGGACCACCACACAACTGACAGCCTATTTTTAATTCAGGAAGAACTGGGGTCAGTGCACATCTGTGGCTCATATGTTTTTTACCCTGAGTCTTTATTTCTCCACCCAAATCCGTGAGTCCTGATGACCTCACCAGGAAATGGTAATTTCCTATGACACCAGGCACACAATGGACGGGACCTGTGAGGCCAGCATCACAGGAAGACACTCTGTGAGCCAGAACCTCCTCTTTCAGCAATGCCTTTGCTGTGGCTCTTACTAGTATCTCTCCAAGGCCTATTTGTCAGACTGAACTGGGAGACAGAAGTGAGACAGATTTTGGGAACAACCAAGGCCTAACTTTTGCTTCTTTCCCTTCCAGAATACACAGCAAACAGGCTAGGATACACACCCAGCAAGAGAAACTGGACTACCTGACAATTTTCACCCATTTCCACTAGGGAAAGCATGCTGGGGGGGGGGGGGGAGGTCCACAGGCAAATGTGTTTTGTTGGTGAGGGACAGCTGGGGACATGGACCTCATCTGAGGCACTCACATCAGGCTGCCTCACTCTGTCTTGCTGAGAAGCAAGTGCAGGTGAAGGCCCATGGGGAATTTATAGTGCTTCACCAAATAGGCCCATCTGTTTCTAAACGGGTGGGTGGTGTAGGGAAGAAACACGAGGTTAGACTTTTCCAGCTAAGAAGTTCGCATGGATGGTAACTCTAAGCAGCAGGCAGGAAGAGCCGCAAGAACTGCTTTGGGCCAGAACCGTGACCAACACGCCAATCAACCAGTGTCAACCAAGGCAACCCAGCCAAACCTGTGAGTCCTGGTCACAGCTTGGCATTTCTGAAAAAAAGAGGCCATATGGGTGACACACGTACTCTAAGCTTGAAGCAGGAAGAAAGAAGTCCCTAAAGCAGGCTGCTCGGTCCTTCAGTTCCCTGACTTAATGACCTAGCAAAAAGGCATTATACTTTTGGTCTCAGGCACTCTGGTCTCTGTTACTTGGAGCTGGGGCTTCACCAGCCTTTGGGCCCTCCCCTGCAGGATTATTGTGATGGTTAAATGGAGTGGGAAGATGTACTAATCTTCTTCCCCACTTTTGCTACAACTCTGATCTTTTGAGCAAGCATGTCAAAATTAGGGGCATTCCTTGTTCATCTGTGGGCCATTGTTTTTTGAAGGGGAGAGGGATTTAAAGGAACAGCCATAGCTTAGTATAGCCGTTCTTCTCTGTAATCCTAGCACTTGGAAAACTGAAGAAGGAAGATATTATAAGTTCAAGACCAGCCTGACCAATAGGGATATTCTATCTCACTCCTGCCCCCAAATAATCATTAAATGATTCTCACGCAAAACTAAATAAATGTTGGATCCACTGTTCATGCATACGTAATGGCGTCTCATTTAAGGGGCTGGATACACGATGAGGTCTCCTGAGACCACACTGCTCAGAGACACTGTCACCATCTTAGTTGTGTCGACATCCTATGTGATGTGGGCTGCATGGAAACCAAATTGGTTGCTGATTCATTCCTCATCCAGCCTTGCGTGGTTGTGATGGCTCCTTTCTCAAACCTGCCTAATGCTTAAGAACTAAAGCCACCCAAGATGACGGAGCCCCCTCCACCCGCCCCATACCGCTAGCTGGGACATTACCATCCCCACATCTGCCTAGTGCCCAAAGTGTCATACTCACTGTATCCCATGCCCTGCACAAAGTACTTGAAGGCCTCAGCCAGCTTGGCGGGCTGTAGGAAAGAGAGGGAATATGCGGTCAGTTTCTGGAGGTCCAGATCATCATCGGCCACCTGTTTCTGCAAGCCAGAGCTCTGTCCAAGGCAGAGCCACCACAGTGTGCTGTCATAGTCTCTCTGTCCCTCTATTCTGGGCTTGAGCTCCCAGTAGCCCCTGGCTAGATAGAGCAAGACAACCAAGATTCTGACCCCATGGCCAAGCCAGGTTTATCTGGCAAATCTCTTAAGCCTGCGGACTTCAGAGTTACCCAATCCCCCAAAGCTGCTTGATGGAGATCTAGTAAACCCACAATTATAAAGCACATTTTATGAGAATATATGCATAAACTGCCATTAGATGCCACACAGAGGGAGTGGGGAAAAGGGAGTTCTTAGGTCACAAAGGCACACACGCCCCCCCAGTGGGAGGCGACAGGTGTTGAGTGAGAAAGCCACAGTTCCACTCACCTGAGAGACCTGCGGGAGGCCGCCACAGTCTGCCATCTAGAAGGGAGGGAGGCTGGTTAGCACTGAACACCTAGATCATAGCTGCGGCAGTCTGTGCTCTGCCCCTGGGTTACCCACCCGACTCTGCTCTAAAGGGGTTGACTGTGGGTGGGTGCTGCTGTTGACTATAATCCATTATCTTCCTTGGTAACTACTCCTTGATGCTTACACATAGCAACAAACCCCTACAGACCACTCCATGTAACCCCTGAAAGCATACCTGGCTCAACTATGTCATTTAGGAAGCCAGGGTGGCTTATGGAACTTTCAAGATCCTGGCCTCCAGAGTATACCAGAGGGGAGATCCTCAGGAAAGAGCCTGAGCCTGTGGCACAACCCAGGCACAGCTGCCACTCACAGGTGGCTTTAGGGGTGCAAACAGCCCTGACTGCATGCTGTGGGATTTCTGCAGAACTCTAACCCAGCACAAGGTAGCAATCACACTGAACTCAGGGGACACTGCCAGAGGAGGCTGCTGAGCCTCACACCCTCTCACTACACAGGGCTGTGGTGTATTCCTCTGGTGCAGGGATGTCCTTGCCCCATCCTAGGAAAAGGAGACTCTGGTCCTGTGCCCAGTCTATCTTCCCCCACCTGCATGTACAAAAGTACGTAGCCCCCCTGCAGTATGGTCCCCAGAATGGACCACTTTGTTTTGCAACCTCAGATTGGCTCCAAGCTTGCTTGCTTCCTAAACTAACTCCTTATCCCCATGTGTCCTTTCCTTCTTCCCTTTCAGAGGCAGGGTCTCAAGTACAGTCTAGGCTAGCCTAGAAAAAAAAAAGGTTGTGTCATCTGGGAGGGCCTCACACTTGAGATCCTCCTGCCTCTGCCTCTGGAGTGCTGGGAATACCGGGATATGCATGACACCCAACTCCAAACCCTTACTCTCAAGGCTCTTAGAACAGTCCTGTGTTTCAACTAGCTGGGCTCAGGTCTGAAAACATTTGGGGGCCTCTAAACTATGCCAGCTGCAGCCCTGCTGTTGCTCATACCTTGAGCAGGGTGGTCTTCGTGGGGTCCAACTTGGAGTTGCATTCCACCTGCACAAGAGGAAAGACTAGGTAAGTGCTTGACTCATAGCTGAAGTCAGGAGTGCCCTGGTCTCCCCTGTACTCCGCCCCACCATCCGGAACACTCCTGTCCCATCGGTCATGAAGAAAGAAGGTGGGCATTGGTTTGTTCAACACGTGTGATTTTGGAGCCTGGCCCTGCCATGACTAGTTCTTTATGACCGGGAGACAAGCCAAACAGGTTACATCCAGCTCTGTGGAGCACTGAAGAGGCAGAGCAACGGTCTGGACTCTAACAGCTTCATGCCACATATCTCCCCAGGTGTGGGGATGTCCGAAAGCAGACATCCTCTCTGTATCTCCCTAACACTGCAGGTGAGAATTAGAGGTGACACTGAGGCAGAAAGCTCTGCATGATCCAGCTCTAAGCATTGCTTTTCTGCTAAGGGAAAAGCCCACCTGTTGCCGAGACTGCGGGAGAACGCCTAGCCATGAAGCCTAGCCTTAATCCTGCCATGTAGCTGAGGTGCCCTGGCCGGGCAGCCAGGACTGAGGGCCACACTGAGAAGCTGACCTGAGCTCTGCTCCAAGGCTGGCATGGCAATTAAACAATATCCTTGCATTGGGAGGGAAAAGCAGAGAGACTCATACAGATGAGCATCCAGGGTCTGCTGAACTGATACCTACCACAGCATCCACGGCAGGAGAGTTGTCCCCAACCACCAGCAGAGCAGGGCACCTGCACAGGACAGGGAAACAGGAGTCATCCCAGGAGCCAGCTCCAGGTTCCCACATGCTAGACTCTGGGCTGCAGCAGGATTCTAACAGGCTACTTAGGTTTCCTAGCACCTTTTGCTCCTCGATGTCCCTACACTAGCATCCTCTGTTTTGAACTTTGAATAGAGTGGGCTAGTAGTTTTTTCTATCTTGGTAAAAAAAAAAAAATTCAGCCCAATGATGCCTGTGTCTTAATGCTTGTTCCAAGGCAACCTCTACCTGGGGAAGGAGGAATAGGAATTTTCCAGGGATTAAGAGAACAAAAAAACATCTGGCATGAATGATAAAGAAAATGACACTGGCCAGGTCCACAAGTATTCAACAGTGTGGTGCACACGGAGAACCATAGAAAGACACCATCACTGCCAGCAGAATGTGTCAGCTGCAACCACTGACTACTAAATATACATAACACTCATGCCAGGTCCTGTATCTTTCAGTTCTAGGCTTTGGGAAGCACAGCCTAACTTAGCCACTGGTGCTGAATGTGCTTAACAGAGGCAGTCAGCCTCCTGATTCAAAGGCTCCAGTTATGGTCGCAAACTCCCTGCTCCAATGTTGACTCCAGCTACACAAGGAGAGGTTCAAGTCAGATCACTTGGGTAAGATACGGTCAGTCATCTCTACCAAAGTGTTCCACCCTACGGGGGCATTTCTGGCACCCAGCAGAAGCCTGCACCAGCAGCCCTGAGTAGAGCCTGATAGCCTGGCCACAGAGGGGAAGGAAGCCACTCACTGCAGGGTGACGGTGTGGGTTCCAGGCATTGGCCGCTCAATCTCCAGGTCCCGTCGGCTGTAGACAACATGAACATTGTTAGCATTGGCAGATCTGTCTTAGGAGCCACTCCCACCATGCCAGTACTGGAGATCCCACCTTAGACCATTCTAGAAGATCATCTTTTGAGGTCATGTAGCTCTCAAGACCCCAGGACCACTTAGTGTCCATAGAAGTAATTATGAGTCAACAGGTCTCATCTGTTTCTAATGAAGCCTTCCTCATTTTTTCTGGAATTTATCAGTGTTAATATTATTTCTACAGGAAAACAAAGCAGGTATTCACTGAATGTCTCTGCCTCCCTGTCCCCCTACCTAGACCCCCCCCCCCACCATTGCAAAAGCTCCAGAATGGCCTCCTGGCACCCCTCCCCTCTACTCCTAACTGGAGGCTGTCTCCAGCAGTTCTGAAGCCTCAACACAAGAAGCCATCTCTAAAACTCAAACCTGTCCTCTCTGTGTGCCAAAGCCTGCACTAGTATCCCACTGTGCTAGCAGAGGTCCAGGGTGGACCTGGTCCCTGCATGTGAACACTTGACCCCTCTGCCCTCTGAAGTTCTGAGACCAAAGCCAGCATTGCAGCATTCAAATCATACCCCGCCATTTCCTAGCTGTGTGACCTTGTGAAGAACACTAAACCTTTCTGTGCTTTGCTTCCTCTCCAGGAAATGGTCTCAGTAACAGCCCCTTTCCATCGGCTGCTGTGCAGACACCAGTTCATTCCTGTGATTCCCACTGTCCATCCAGGAGCCCACCCCCCTCTTCTTGGTACCCATTTGCATCTTCTCACAGCAGTGAGAATGCCACAGGTCTCCTGCACTGAGACACTGACAGGATTGTGAAAAGAGCATCAAAGCCCATCAGAGATGCTAAGGTCATTGCACTCATTGCACTCCTCACTGTGAGGAGCTTAAGTCCTAGGCACTGTCCCAGGTTAGATGCATGCAAGGCTCACTCCTGGCTCCTGTGCTGGAAGTACAGCAGAGGCGCCTCTGTAGGCTGCATGAGTGCGCCTTCCAGAACCTGTCACTGATTCTAATAACCCTGTGTAGTCCTCTCCCCAGGAAAGCTCCTAACAAGGTCCTCAAGCTTCCCAGCAGCCTCCAGGGTTCTACATACCCACAGTGTTTCTGTTGCCACAGCAGCTTTTACTCTTAGTTAGCCTTGGGCACAGGCCTCAACTCTCCACCCTGACTGCTCAGCTGGTTCCTACTCACTTGGTCCCACTGCCTGGATAGAAGCATCAGATAGATCCTGGCAGAGCTCACTCAGTGCTAAGGGCCAGGCAGCATCCACCCAGTCATCATCCTCCCCAGACTCCATTCTACTAACCTCCAGCTGTACAGCCCTGGCCTTCGCTTCCACTGCAGGCCTGCTGCAGGAGGCGGATGAGGACCCCAGTTAGACATGGCCAAGCCCACCCCTGCCCAAGGGCTCTTACCTGTTGTAGGCGCTGATGAACAGGTGTAGGTTGCTGGGGTTCATATCATTGAGGATGTGCTGGCGGTATGTGTGCACCACCTCCACGTTGTTGTGCATCTCCTCCTGTGGGGACAGAGGGAAAGGCTTGTCATCGCTCGAGCCGCAGCGGTAGGGAGGAAGAGCATGGCTGAGGCAGAGACAACTGTGATGTAGGTTCATGGCATGTCTGTGGTGGTCAGTGCAGACTACTGAGTGACAGCGATGGGCACCCAGAAGGATTCCACCAGGGAGGCCCAGCTTTCCCTCAGGAGCCTCATCTAAACTCGGGATTCCTACTTCACGGTAGACCTCCAAGCAATCTGTTCTTGTCACTTATAGGATCAGAAGAAACGTTTGTCAGCAAGGAGGCTAAGCCATGACAAAGACACCCTGGGGGATCTGACCAAAATGAACAGCAGCAGCTTGGGGGTATCAGCCAGCCTTCAGAGACTTGAGGACAGTCTGAACTGAGTGATGATACCCTCGGGTTGCTCTAAGTCATTTCAGTTACAAGCCCTGGGCGACCCCAAAACAAAGGGGGATGTTTTCTGCTGCCCTGAAACTCAGGGAACATCAAAGTGTCATCACATTCATTATCTCAGCAGCAGAGAATGCCCCATACAGAAAAGCGGTGCATTGCGGAGTTTGGGCAACCAAGGGGTTTTCCAGACATTGAACTTGAATGTGAGCCAAAAATATATATCCTCTCTCATCCCGTACTCAGCCACAGAGAGTATGGGACTCAAGGACAAATCTAGAGTGACAGAGAGCAGACCAGAGGTGCCTGGGAGGAGAAGAGGTTCAAGGACACAAGAGGTGTGTGAAGGACACTTCCGCCATCTTAGTCACTCTGAGGGATGATGGATTTGATCAAATATAGGCCGCACATTGTGCTTCAACAAAAACAGGTTATCGAGAAGCTCCACCCCTGGCTGAGGAGCCATTGGCTGTTGATGGCTGCTGGGGGGAAGGAGGAGGATCAGTTTTCTTCAAGGATGGTGTCCCAGGTAGGCTGTCCATGCCAGCAGATAGCCCTATACTCTTGCTTATAATAGCAGCACAAGCAGGATTTAGTAATTTTTAAAAGCACACACATTTAGTTGGGAGGGAGATCTGGAGGGGAAAAACTCGGGGTACATTTGATCAAAATATCTTGTACACATGTATGAAATTCTCCAGAGGGGGTGGGTAGAAAGCAGTGTGAGTGGCTTGCTGACTGTGAGCTGATATTACACAATTCACAGACTCCAGCCTGGGTCACCCCTTGATTGTACCTTGTGTGTGCCACCTGCCCATGTGGCCCTGTCTGTGCTGGGTGCCACATGGTTAACTGCTCTGTGAGGATAGCAAGACACCCCCACCACTCACCTTGCCGAAGAGGTGGGACACGACCATGTCTGGCAGGGCTTGGGTCCATCCTGAGATCTGTGGAGGGAGAACGAAGAAAAATTGGCAACTGGAACTCAGCAGTAGAAAAAGAAAGTCAGCCAGCCCAGGGCCCTGGGGGCAGAGTAACACCTGGCTCCCTGAGCCTCACCCAGGTCTCCATGACAGCCTGGCCAGAGCTTGGCTCTGGGATGGATGCCATAGACCAATTTAGTACAGACCTGCTCACTAGCTTAGCACTATTGAGAGGTAAGGGGGAACTTTTAAAAGGTTGAGATCCACAGTAGGCCTCCAGGGCAGGGAGGTAGTTTATTTTATTTTTGCCACCAGCCACAAGCTGGCCTACTGCCATGACTTGGTTTTGCCATAGGGACCAAACCCTCCAAACATGTGAGTCCACACAAACCTTCCCTCAGCAGAAGTCAGCTAGCTCACACAACCGCTTGTGTAGCAGAAAAGCTTCTGTCTCTGGTCCCCTTCTGAACCTACAACCCAGGGCAGACCAGGCCTGGCTTTCCATCAGTTCCTCCCTCTTAGAGCCTACACGGAGGAGACATCCAGCAAGTGGGGTGGAAACACAGCTTAGCGAGGCCAAGCTTTCCCTGCTCCCAAGTCCTCAGTACTGCGGCCCTATCACCCCAACGCATGACCTCCCTTCTCCACTAGGCAGGGTACACTCGGCCCTAACTCCTCCTCCTCCATCATCCCCCAGCTTCTCCCCTCCAGTCTGGTTACTGGTCTGTGAATTCCTTGAAGTCTCTGAAGTCACTAATGACTCCCACAGCACCTCCAAAAAGCCTGTATACAGCACAATCTAAAAGCCCAGTAGTTTTTGCAGCTGATGCTCAATAAATGTTCAGACCATGACATAAAATTCAAACCACCAGTTATACAACAGGAGCTGTATAAATGCTACGTGTGCACTGTGGGTATTAGACAGATAAGGCAGATATCACAGGTAGCCCTGTTTGGCTAGAGGTGGTAAGAAAGATGAACATTTGACCTAGGATCCTGGACTGGCTTGACGACTGCCTGAAGCTAAAGAGCACCAGACTGGCTGAAGGCCCTGAGCCTCAGGTCTCTTGGTTATAACTGGAGGTGTTAAAAACCATGCCATCAGGACATAGCAAGGCTCCCACAGTAAGGATCCAATAAGGCAGCCAGGCATCACAGACTCTGGCATTTACTCCTGGCATACCAAAGCCCCTAGGTATGTCCGTCCCTCTGGCCTTGACAGGCGTGGGGAATTCATTGAAACCACAGTCTGTCTCAGCTGGAGGTCAGTGCTCCAGCCGCCCTTGTTTGGCTCGGAACAGCTGAGCAGCAGCCAAGTGGGCCCAAATGGAATGTCCCTCTCTGGGCTGGAAAATAAAATAAAAACCAGGGAGGATGCTTTGCTCCAGGCTGCCCTACAGGCAGGGACAGGACTATCAATGCTTTAGGAAGACTCACAGCATCTAGCAGACAGGAAGGGGGATGGGTACAGTTCATGCCTGCTTCCTCAACAGCTGCCCATAATAACAAAACCACCATCCCAATCAGAGACCAATCACTCCAGCCGAAGCGGCTTTATCCCACCCTGATTGGAAGCTTCTCCCTATCCTTAGAAATCACTGGGGACTTCACAGGAAAAAGAAAAGCAATAATTATTGTTTAAAAAAAAAATCAACAGACTCAACAGGGACCCTTGGGACAGCAGCCAGGGCAGAGTTACTTAGCTCGCCTGAGCAGCAGCAAATGGTTGCTAGCCTAAACAGAGCCAAGGAAGGTTGCTCTCTTAGGCAGTGGGGAAAGGGACTAGTGGGGCCAAGAAGGCGCTCCCCTAAGGGGAGGTTGGGACCCCACCTGCCTGCCTTGCCCTGCCAAATCTCACCTTGGAAGCAGCCCAGTCCATCCAGCCTTCTGCACAGGGGTTCACATTCATGAGCACGAGGCCCTCCACCATATCAGGGTTGTTGAGCTGCAATCAGAGACACAACGTGAGCTATAACACTCAAGAGAAAAAAACACTGAGGCTTTGAAGCCAACAACAGGGGAAACTTGGAGCAGGTATGGATGGCTCCCTGGCCTTGTCAGTGCAGAACGGAGGGTCTAGCTCAGGCAAAAGTGGATCAGGTCCTCACGAGAGCAGAAAAAAGAAGCCGTAGAAGAAGAAAGAACGCACTCACACTTTGGGGACCTGTCAATCATGTCCCTTCACCTCACAGAGCCTCGGCTATCTCAGATGTCCAGTGGTGCAACAGCCAAGCCACACTAGAGTGTGAAGGGCCCAGTAATGCTCTCTGGCTCTGTCACCTGGAATGCCTATGTATTTAGGACTCTAAGACCCATCCAGCATCTACTTGAAGCTGATGCCCAAACTCGTTTGCACTTTAACAGTATGTGTGAGCACTATCGAGGCGCTGCACTTAGCAGGCATCAAAATACCTTGCGTTGGATGACATGATCCACTTTAGGGAAAAGTCACAAAGGCTACCCATAGTGCCAGCAGTGGGCATGCCACATTTATGTGTCTGACTCTTACGTAGACTCCACCAGGATCCCAGAGGACCTGGGTCACAAAACCCTGAGCTAACACAATGCAGGATCAGAGGAAGCTATGAGTGGGAAACCATCCACATTTCCTACTCAGGAAGCAAGGCCAGTGACCCTGTCTACCGGTGGCATTCCAGCTGTTAGCATGAAAGGAAGAGGTGCGTGCACAGGTACCCATGTGGCACATGCCACAATGGCCCCAGGGGTTCTCCCTTGGGAAATGGAAGCACAGCTCATTTCATTTTCCTGTTTGTTTTTTTAAAACACTTTTCAAATTTTATTCATTATTTATTTGTGGGTCTGTGTGTGGGTCACATACACGAGCGTGCAGATAGATACACAGAGCATAACCATGAAGAAGCCAGGGCAAGGCACAGGAATCTATCTCTGTTTCTCTCCACTGTGTTCCCTTGAAACAGGGTCTCTCATCAAATAGGAAGCTCACCTTTTAGGCTAGGCTGGCCAGCCAGAGACCTCTCCAGAGTCTCTACCTATCTCCAATCCACTCCATACTGAGGTTACAGGCACCTGCAGCCATGCCTGTCTTTCCATGGGTTCTGGGGATTTGAACCCCAGGCCTCAAGTCTCTACACTTGCATGATAACACTCTTTCCTACTGAGCTAGCTCCCCAGCACCTAAATAATTTTTTTTTAAATATAATTTTACAAACTGTAGAGAAACTTACTGCGAAGCGGGTCAGGATGTAGGCGCCAGCTCCTGTCCCCATGCCAATGACACTCTTGAGCCTGAAAACCAAACAGACATTCAGGTCGCTGAAGGGAGACATGATAGAGCCCCTGCTTACCCCTATCAACTTCCCTCACTTGCTCTGAAGAGCTCTGCCCCTTAGATATCTTTGCTGAGGATGCCAACAAACTAGCTCATGCCATGAAAGGCAGGCGGCCCTGATGTGCCCTCCAAATCCAGCTGTGACCTAGGGAGCCTCTTCCATCTTGCTCCTTTCCCCCTTGCTGCAGCCAGACTCTGAGATGTTGAGCATTTACAGGAAGCCTCATAAAGAATTTGCCTCATCCCGCTCCCATGCTTTATTCTGGCCTCTGAAATTTGGAGTGAGAACAAATTGGGGAGCCATGGGGTTTAACCCTAGGAGAGGCTGCAGTGAGAAAGGAAAGGAGCTTGCAGGGACAGAATGAGAGTCTGGAGACAGAAGCCAAGCTCCCAAAGTACACTATTCCAGAAGGTTCTATAGGATAAGAAAGCAAGGACAAAGTGGGCATTGGGGCCACTAAAGAAGCAAGACTAGGGTCACAGGACAAAGAACGATGTTGAGCTGGGAGAAGCAGTGGGTACCAGCCACAGCAAGCTTCTTTTTGGACTCATCTGAGAATTCCAACCTGTATTTTAGTGGTCAGGCTAAGAAGGAGGCCAGTGGCTTCCCTTCTGATCAAGGTGACATGCTTAGAAGAAAGAGTCCCTGGCTCTTACCCAAATTGGTGAAGGACTCCAGGAAGCATTTCAGCGAGCTGATCCATTGAGGGGTACATGTACCTGTGAGAGACACGGAGAGGCAGATATTGAGAACCCAGACCATCGATGAAACAAGTTATCCATATTGGGATATTCTGAAAGACCAGACACCAGCTGGCCCTTCCACGGAGCAATACAGGCATAATATTCCCACCCCTTGGCATCCACTGTGTGAGGACACTCCCAAGCAAGAAGTAGATTCCAAATGGGAGGAGACAGCCACTTATCCTCAATCCTTGGTGACAACCAAGATAGGGAGTGTCACCTAGTCTCAACTCCAGAGGACAGGGGGAAGCCACATCCTGTTCCAACATGTTCTTTCTACCTTAGGCACACTGAAGTCGCCTGGTAAACTTGGAGGCACACACCTTACATCTTAATCTGCAGATAAACTTCACATTTTTCTCTGAGAAAGGCAAGTCTAGGAGCATCATGAGGCTTCACTTGGGGAGTAAGAGCCTCCGCATGACATCCCCACCCCATCTCGCAGACACTTGTCCAGGCTGACTTAGCGGAGAAAGCCCTGGTATTGTCAGCTGATTAAGAGTTCACTGTACCCCATTGTTGAACAAGTTCTTTAGGCCTGGGCCTGTCCCTGAGGGGCTAGGTGTCCCTTCCCTTCTCTGATAAAAGTTGAAAGAACCAGTGACAAAAGAGGGCATCTGTACCCTGGACAAGGAACCTTGATTGACCAGAGACAGAAGCCTCCAGTGCAGACCAGAAGTGAAGCCTAACTTTCTATCTCTACTGTATGGCCTTTTGTAAGCTCTGAAGTCCTCTCCATGCCTTAGCATCTTCACCAAGATTAAGCTAATAACCCCAGCCACAGATTACTGGCTGATAAGGATTAAGTGAAAATGACATTTGTCATTGGGAAGCATGGCAGTGGTCATGTCCCTCCCTCCCCCTTTCCTTTTCCCTGTCTAGGGTTTCTCTACTGCCCCATTGGGTCTGCACAGGAGAGACACAACTGTCTCAAGTCAACCTAGCTGGCATGTGGAGTCAGGGTTTACTGGACACAGTATCTCCATCTTGACAGAGGAAGAATCCTGGAGAATGATGGCAGCCACACCATGTTACAATGTATCCCATCAAATAGGGCTGGGGAGATTGCTCAACAGTTGTTACAATGTATTCCATCAAATAGGGCTGGGATTGCTCAGTGGTTGTTACAATGTATCCCATCAAATAGGGCTAGAGAGATTGCTCAATGGTTAAAGCTCTTGCCGCACACCATGTTACAATATATCCCATCAAATAGGGCTGGAGCGATTGCTCAATAGTTGTTACAATGTATCCTATCAAATAGGGCTGGGATTGCTCAGCAGTTGTTACAATGTATCCCACCAAATAGGGCTGGAGAGATTGCTCAGCAGTTGTTACAATGTATTCCATCAAATAGGGCTGGGATTGCTCAGTGGTTGTTACAATGTATCCCATCAAATAGGGCTGGAGAGATTGCTCAGCAGTTGTTACAATGTATCCTATCAAATAGGGCTGGAGAGATTGCTCAGCAGTTGTTACAATGTATCCTATCAAATAGGGCTGGAGAGATTGCTCAGCAGTTGTTACAATGTATCCCATCAAATAGGGCTGGAGAGATTGTTCAGTGGTTAGAGCTCTTGCCGCACAAGCATAAGAACCAGGGTTTGGATCCTGAGAACCCTCTGCAAATCCTGGGCAAGCATGGTGGCCTGCCTGTAATTCCAGCCACCGAGGGTGGAGACAGGGCATCCGTAAAGCAAAGCAGCTAGGGAGATTAACCATTATTAGTGATCTCAGGTTTGATAGAGGGAGCCTGACTCAATGAATAAAGTAGACTTGGGAGTAATTCACAACATCAGCTTTGGTTATCTACACATAAATGTACATAAATGCACATGCATCCCTACATATAAAAATGTATACACACATAAGTGCATAGCACACATACACAAATGGAAAAAGGAACAAGTTAAAGGGTAAATGCCATGTTAAACACATGGTAGCCATAAAAAGTTGTTGAAATAAGCTATATTGTTTTGGGTTTTCTTTCTTTTCTTCATAAAAAATTTTTTGGAGATGGTTTTATAATGAGTCCAAACTAACCTCAAACTAGTGAACCTCCTGCCTCAGCTTCTTAAGCGCTACGTACGATTCCATGTACACGTCACCATGCCCAGCTTAGAGATAATAAACCTAGTATTTTTACCATAGCTAACTTTTATTTTATGCTGATTGACATTTCCCACTCTTCCTGCACCCCCACCTGCTCCTGGGGTGAAGGTCTCTGCTCTTACCCCACTGGGAAGGAAGGGGCACCATCCTGTTGCCCAGGGGCATCCACATGGCAGACAGCAAAATGTTGTGTGATCTCCTGCATGTCCTCAGAGTTGAAGAGGGGGTTGTAGCAGGTCTTGTCTGCAGGACATGAGAAAGAAGTTAGGAGAGGGGGCTACAGCAAAGCACACTCAGTTACTCCTTCACTTAGCAGCAGCAGGGCAGAGCTCCCAAGAATTGTGCACCTCTGTGAGTTCGAGGCTAACCTGGTCTACACACAGAAAGTTCTAGACCACAGTTTCACATACTGAATGAAACCCTATCTCAAACGAAAGATACAATTCTTCCCACCTCACCCCCAGGCCTCCCTCTGATGACAGAGGCAGGAAAAAGTCAGAGCTAAGATCTGGTATAGGGTAGAACTGGGTGGGCTTTAAGTTCCTTGCAAGATCGCCATGGGGCTAGTACAAGGCATAACCACTTTTCTGGGACTTCCAGGCTGTAGGATCTGGGACATCTTGATTTTCAAACAAGAATTATCCACTTGGATCTCCTGGAATGACCCCTCCATACGCACACTTGCTAGGGGGCGGACGCAAAAACAGCCAGCTATGTAACTGAGACTGCCCTTGAATTCCTGATCTTCCTGCATCTACCCATAGGATTAAGACTACAGAGAGGTGCACCACCACCACCACACCTGGCTTTTTGTTGTTTTCTGTAGCTCAGGTGGACCCATAACTTACTATGTAGTCTAGGTTAGTCTCCAGCTCGCAATGATCCCCTGGCTTCAGCTTCCCAAATGCTGGGATGACAAGCATAGGCCGTCAAGTCTGTTACTTCCTGTCATCTTAAAAGTCAATGAGCCAACACTCACTACAACACTGTGTTAAGTTCAAAGAGCCCAAGTACCCACCATCCAGTGTGGTGATTTGAATAAAAACGGCCCCCACAGGCTCATGTATTTAAATACCTAGTCATTAGGAAGTGGTATTATTTTAAAAGAGGAGAAGGATTTGGGAGTGGTCTTGTTGGAGTAGGTGTGGCCTTAGGGGAAGGAATGTATCACTGGGGGTGGGCTTTGAGGTTTCAAAAGTGCATGCCAGGCCAAGTCTCTCTCTCTCTCTCTCTCTCTCTCTCTCTCTCTCTCCCTCTCTCCCTGCAGATAAGGATGTAGCACTCAGCTAATTCTCCAACACCATTCCTGCCTGCCTCCATGCTCCCTGCCATGACCATGGACCAAGTCTCTAAAACTGTAGGCAAGCTCTCAATTAAATGCTTTCTTTTCCAAGAGTTGCCTTGGTCATGGCATCTCTTCACAACAATGGAACAATGACTCAGACATAAGCTGGTGCTGGGAGTGGGGTATTACTATACAGGCCTGACCATGATATTTGTTGAAGAAATACAGACTAACAAGTGTTGTTTCTATTCAGTAGGATTCAGAAGTGAAGTACTGCCAAAGTCCACAGCACATAAAAATCTTGAAAACATGGACAAGGCCAGTCATGAGCCAATCATGAAAGACCACACACTGGAGGGGTGTGCTTATGTGAAAGTCTAGAGACATACAGAAGGAGACAGAGTGTTCTCAGTAGGGCTGGAGAGTGTGGGAGATCTGGGCAGGGGAGAAAGGGTTCAAGGCTTCTTCTCAGAGTCACTATAGTGTCCTAAAGATGTTTGTGCTGATGGCTGCACAGCTCTGTGGTGATATCAAAGTCTGATGCACGCATTTTTTTAAGTCACTATAACAGGTTGTTAGGTGGCAGCGTCACTTGCTTCCCGTCTCCAGAGCATCCTGTACTAATAGCTTTGGACCACACACAGTGTGACTCAGGATTTTCCAGGCTAAGGCAGGAGAATTCCCCGAAGCTGAAAGAGAAGCTGACTATCACCAGCCCTTCCTGGCTGGCATTTCCCTCCCCTGGTGACTGGGCTCTCCAAACTCACGGTTCATGCCAATGTCGTGATACGTGAGAATGACTGGACGGTTGCCCTTGGGGGTCCCACACAGTGTGACATGCAGGGAGCCATGGAGAGTCTCAATGTCCTGCTCCTGAGGAGAGATCACAGACAGAGGCTCGTCAGGTGAGATTCACAGCAACAGTGTGGCTGACTCATTGGCGGTGAGCACCTGCTATGCTCCCAGCTGTTCTGAGGATGCCAAGTACACATTCCTTTGGTCACCCAGAGCTCTGCACTGGCAATGAGAGATGTCTGAGGCCAAAAGAGGTAGGGAAGGGAAGAGAAGGGGAGGAGAGGGGAAGGGAGAGGAGAGGAGGGGAGGGGAGGAAAAGGGAAGGGAAGGGAAGGGAGTGCAAAGCAAAGTTGTGTCAGGAAGCAGAAGACAGGGTCCTGGGAGGTTGTGCACCACTCTCCAGGGACAGGTGGCCCCAGCCACCCTCCCTGGAAAGGACTTTGTTTTCTGCATTTGGCATGAGCTTCCTATCCTACAGGCAATATACTTGTTTATTTGAGGTTTTCTAGAAGTCACTCCCATTTCAAAGGACAACCTCAGTTTCCTGTGGGAACACACAATGTTGTATTTTGAATAAGAATGGACTCCATAGGCTCAATATTTGAATGCTAAATCAGCAGGAAATTGAACTCATTAATAGGATTAGAATTAGGAAATTAGGAGGCATGGCCTTGTTGGAAAACCACTGGGGGTGGGCTTTGAGGTTTTCAAAAGCTGGCAAATGGCCTCCTATTGGTCTTTCTTTCTCTTGCTCCTCGCCCCATCCCTTGGCCTGTGGATCAGGATATAGTTCTCAGCTACTGGTCCACCTCCATAGCACTGCTGTGTTCCTTGCCAGGAGGATAACGGACTAAGCCTCTGAAACTGTAAACTAGTCCCAATTAAATGCTTGTGTTTTGTTTGTTTGTTTTGTTTTAATAGAAGTTGCCTTAGTCGTGGTGTCTCTTCACAGTGATAGAATAGTAACACACAGACACACACACAAATACACAAAGCAGTGGCTCCCTTGTCTCTAGCATCTGTTGATGTTCGCCCTTCCTCTTTCACAGGCTGAGGTCAGTTCCCACCTTGCACCTCTCAAATGTCATGTAATATTAGATGATACCAACCAGAGCCAACCTCACTCACTGTGGAAGTGGACTGGACTTTGTCAAGTTGGGTAACAGACTTGACCCAGCAAAGCTTCCATAGCAGTCATCCTATAACCACAAGGCAAAGGTTTGCTTGAATTAAGCCATCATCCAAGGGATGATAAAGGCAGAAAGAAGCCTCAGCACAGCAGCCACCTCCTGGGGCTGCCAGCGTGGTGGGCTAACAACTTCCCATTCTGAATTGACCACAGAACCTGCAGTGATCCACCCAAATCCCTTCTCTTTCCTGCTCCACTCTGAGGCCAGTCCTCAGTAATCCATAGTCTTCCCCATGCATTCCCATGAAAGCAAAGAACACGTCTATCCTTCCTCTGCCCTCAAGAAGACAGGCTCTGTCTTGGTTCCAAGCCCCAGCTCCCTGCGAGCTGATTTTCCCTGCCACTGTCTTCTGAACCTCCCGTGTAGAAGGTTGTGAGCCTCGATGACCTTCTGTGACCCTGCCTTTGTTCCATGCTGTCTGTAGTCTTTGCTGTCAATCAAGGCTTCTGAGGACCCAAGACACAGGTCTCCCGGGAGCAACAGCTTCCTCCTTGGATGTGGTTAGCTCTTGGCTGCCCTCCCTAGGTCATCTGGGGACATTGAGGCCTTCCATGTAGCTGAAGCATTTCTCTCCAGGTCATCTCTTGCAAGAAACCTGTGGTGCTATGTGACACCATCCATCCACAACTGGTGATCAGAGACGGGCAGATGACACAGAGGCAGGTGCACCAGTCCACCAGCTGTGTTTCCCTGAATCTTTCACTCCCTACACTCACAGAGGTTGGAAATATCAGGGCCCTCTCGCAACCTCCAGGCCACTATAGACCGACTTGCAAAAAATGTGAGACTAAAAGACACCAAAAATTCCAGGTGCCACCAACCTTCTCCCAGAATCTAGGACCCCCACAAGACCCTTGAGGCAGGAGACAAGAAACAAGATTGGCACTCATGGTCTAATGTGAGAGGAGAACGGACTGGGGAGTCACTCAGGAACCATGGTCTAGGAAGTCACCCTAACCTGTCTTGGGAGCAGCCTCCCTCCTGCAAGACTTTGGGAGACCAGAATAAGACTGTGAAACCCAGGGGGACAGGGATTCCCTGACTGGGGCACTCTTGGAGCACAAACAGACATTCATACATATATAACAGAGTACAGGGGTGTGTACTTGTACCCCAGTGCTCATGCCTATACTAAAGTAGCAACCCACGTGTGTGTGTAGGAGAACAATGCATCTGGGTGAACTAGTCCAACATGGCACATGGATGGACAAGCACAGCGGCAAGCATGAATGCATGACTAATGCGGTTCACATGAATGCACTGGAACTGCAGTGCTCACAGATTTATTGGTAAAGCAGCACACATAAATATACGATTACAACACTGCACACGGACATGCATGGACTCGTTTTAAGTAGAGCAGGGAATGCTTGTGTCCTAGCAAACAGTACACATGGATGGCTGTGAACAGCAGTACACATGGATGTATTAGTACAGCAGCACACATGGTTGTACTAGTAAAGGAACATACATGAATTCTCTAGTACAAAACAGAATGAGCCCTCATTCCAGGGTCCCACATCAGAGTAGGGTGTTTGAGTGCTATGTTTTCTTTTTTGCTGTTTGCACATACTGGAGATGGAACCCAGGGCCTCACTTGCATCCACAAGCCGAGTACTTGACCACTGAGCTACACCCGAAGTCCCCAGTACGACATCTAGCCAAGGCTTCACCCGAGGTGATTGTGGTCACGCACATTGAAATCCCAGTGCTACAGAGGGTGATGCAGGAGGATGGAGAGTATGAAGATCACATACTCTCAAACACATACGACCACACATACACTTTCAAGAGCTGGGCCTGTCCCCACCAAGGCAGAGAGATGCAGGGGGTCCTAACCCTGAAGATTTCTAAAGCGAGTAAGCCCAGAGCCCTCCCCTCCCACCTCTATGGAATACGAATTTGAACCTGTGGCAGTGTCTATGAGGGAGTGATGATACACCCAGCACAGGCAGGCCTTGGCCCAAGCACAGGCAGGCACTGACAGGCGCAGACAGACACAGCCAGGTACAGGCAGCCAGAGGCAGCCAGCAGACAACACAGACAGGGATAGGTAGGCACAGAAAAGTAGGGACACTTTGCTCCTTGTGTACCTAGCACAGGGGTCTCCTGATCCATATTGTCACCCCAAAATGAGTCCCCTCCCCCCAGGGAACACAAAGTCCAGCCCTGCCTCCCTCCCCGCTTTAACTTCAGGCTCAGCACTTCTTTCCTGCCTAGAGCACACTCTGGAAAAATCCATAGGACAGGAGCATCAGCCCAGCCCCATGGGACACGGGTCATCTGCCAGCCCTGAAGCCACCATGGTAACAATGGTCCATTGTGGGGCCACATTCTTTATTGTCTTCGGGGCTAACCCACATGGCTCATTCTAAAAATAGGCCAAGCCAGTCTCCCTGTGGCAACTACCCTTCAAGCCCTTGTCCCATTTGATAAGCCTTCAGGGCCTCAGCTCTTAAAAGGGAGAGCATGTCCCCAACACAGGAGTCTCAGCAGCAGCAATGGGGAGGAGAATTGGAGCCCAGCCAGGCAGAAGGACCTCAGCACCCACTAGCACGAAGACCAGCTTTAGGGGTGGAGATGCACATCTGACTTTGGTTAACCTCTTCAGAAGCCTTACAGATTATGATTTTAACTCGAAGGGGTCTCTCCTCCACCCAAGAACAAAATACTATCCTGGTGTGGCTTCCTGTTCTACAGAGGTGCTGCCTATACACAGCAGGGCTTGGGGCTGCAGGGATGTCAGAACTGTGTACTTTACCTGTCCTTGTCCCAGACAACAGGCAGTCCCCTGTGCTGGGAGTCATCAGGAGACACTTCTGGCTGGGATGCTGTGGGACCGGTCTCTTGTTCCTCCAACTCTAGAGTCTCACACTCAACACTACAGCAGGTCAGAGGCAGAGAGCATGTGACCCAGCTCAGAGGTCACACAACCAGGAAGACGTGAGACAAAGGCCATCTCTCACCTGCTCTGAAAAGTCTAGAAGCTCTTTTTCTACCTGGGTCAGCCTGACAGATCCTGACCTGGGGCAGACATGTTGGCACAGCCCTAAGCCGAGCTTTCCTGTTCCAGGAGGATGTTGCTAGGAAATCCCAGAGTAAGCAGCTATCTTGTCTCACCCATCCAGATGTGCATCCTGTCATCTGCCAATAGGGTTTCTGAATCCCAGAAGCTTTGTTGGGAAGTGAGACCAGGAAAAGGAAAAGGACAGGAAATGGGGGATTAAGAACTCTGCCTTCTGTGGGAGTTCTGCTCCCCTCTACCCACAGGGAATGAAAACAAGAAACAAATGTGTAGAGAAAAAGAAACTAGTCCAAGATGGCTGCTTGCCAGGCTTTCCCATGAGCTAATGGGCTTGCAACAGAAGGGGAAAGACACAGTCTCCCGTCTGGCTTGCTCCAGTGAGACAAGAAGCTGCAGGAAGTAGGAACTGAGCTCAGGCCTCCCTGAGGCCAGCCACCCTGTCTGGCCCTCTCCCCTCCAGGAGGCCCTGCAGGGAACAGCTGCTCATTTTCCATAGTGCTCCATATGCTGTGTGTGCCAACATATTTCCATGGAAACCAAATCAGATGAAGCCATTTGAACAAGCACAAGGCCTAGGTAGAAGGCATTAGCCACTGAAGACCAAATAGCAAAAGTCAATCAGTATGGAACCAGAAGTGAGAGAATGGACCTGAGCTCCCAACCTTAGCCCCCAAAATACTTGCAGAGGAAACTCTGGCTCTGGATGTAGGCATTGAGTCAGCATCAACACCCATCTCATCACCATGTGGACTTCCCCAGGGTCGTATCTTAGACGTTCACACAAAAAGAGCGGGGGTATTTCCTTTATCAGTTGTCATGAGACTCACATATGACCATTTGTGGAGAGCACAGGGCAGTTTCCAGATGACATTTTGTGTTAAGAAGTCAGCTCTTTCAACTGCGCTACCTTCCTGGACTACTGTGTTTTCAGGAGTCAACCTGGACTTAAACTTAGGACTATCCTGATAGTACCCCTGGGCATCTTCACACAGATCTCTGTGTGAACAATGGAATAGTGCCAGCCATGTGGTTGGCCAGATAGACCAAAGAGGTATGGCAGAGGTGAGCCACAGTGCAGTCTTAAGGACAGGGGATCCCCAAGTCTAGAACTATAGGAAAGTTCTTCAGAAGAGAGTTCCAGCCAAAGTGGACTCATGGAACCACCTGACCGATGCTGGCATGGTCTCATCATCCACGATGATGATGATAACACAGGTCCCTGAGTTTTCATCAAGAGCACAGGACACCTGCCCTGCTTGTCTATGGACATCATGGCAGATAAGTGGCATCATTTTACTACAGTATGACAAGCTTCAGGGTTATGAAGCTATATAAAATTAGCTACAGCTGTTATGTGTCCCCTTTAACACAAGGAGATTGTAAACAACAAACTCAAGCAAAGAGAAATGGAGGTGGAATGGCAGGGAAGGGGGAACGTGGACTTTTAAATTTTATGCATATACTGCCACCAGGCCTCACACTTAAAAGTGGTAAACATGTCACCTAGTCTGTGCATTTTACCACAATGAAAATCAGAGGAAACCTACAATATACGTTGGGGTGTGTTCTGCTTGAAATGGCACTGTCGTTATAGCCCCACTTTACCCTCTCTATAACACAAAGTCACTTTACAAAGGCTATCGACTTTCCTGTATCACAAATGAGGAAACTGAGGCTGGAGGGACTGGGTTGATAACCAGAAAAGGACAACTGGTCCTTGCATCCCACTCTCTGAGTCCACACACAGCCTTCACTCCGAGAACAGATAAACACTAGACCAATCACGCACTTAGCAGGAAGGTCCACAGAGCAAAGAAAGCAAGTCACCAGGCTCTTATCAGGGAGAGGCTTGTGTGGCTCAGCCCTGACGGCACAGGTGGGCCCCCAGGACTCTCACTTACAGCTATGTTCAGCCTACACAGCCAATTAAATAGCCAAGGTCTCAGGGGACAGTTTCATGGGTCTTACTACCCCGGAATAAGAGAACATAATGATTAGAAACAAAGTCACAATCTTAGCCACCACCAATATAGAACTTCCACTCTTACTCAGTCTCTCTATGTCTCCAGCAGGACAGAGCAGGGCTGAATAAGATAAACCAAAGTCCTCAGGATATTCCATTGACCTCCGGCTCAACACAGTACCTGTCCATCCCTGAGTCCTAGAAAGTGAGATGGGAAGTGTGGCGTTCTGGACATTGCATACAAAGCAAGGAGAGCAAACATACAAGCTTAATACCTGGAAACAATGAGACAAAAAAACCTGCACTTCTGCCTGTGTAGCCAAACATGGACCTGGTGAGACACCCAGTGCTACCACTTTGACCTCTGTCTGAGCTAGGTGGACACAATGCTTCTCTTGATTGTTGAGGAGTTAAATGAGGTACTGGCTGGGCAGCCTTTGGTATGGTACCTCGCATATGAGAACAGGCAGTGGCTTTATCAACACCACCCAGACATCTGTGGGTCTGAGACAGGAAAGGACAGGCTGTGACACTGCCTCCTACAGCAACCACAGGGTGGCCTCTGGCAAGCCACTCTCCAGAACTGTCTCTCCCCTTCTTAACAAGAATGTGGGTGGAACTGGGGGCACCAGGAGCTCCGCTCTCCTTGGAGACCAAGATATGTGTTCGTGGTGCTGGGCACAGACAATGAAATGATTCTCCCAAATCCTCAACTATCCGATGAGCAATGGACCAGATCACAGGGAGCCAAATGGGATATATGTAATCAGGCAGTGGTGGGGTGGAGTGACAAGCAGTCCTTGGTGGGCCTTCAATACTCTAAGCCCCTGCCTAGATCCTTTGCACCCAAGGAGCTGCCCCCATCCCATGCATAGCCCTCTCCTGCTTCTGCAGGCAACGCCAGTGGACCGGGTCTACTTGTTTTTCACCCATCTCTGATGGGATGAATACTGAATGCATACTACCTTACTAATTTGGGGGGGAGGGGTTTCTCCTGATGTCCCCACCCGTGATCCTTAGAAGCATGTTTCTGGCCTAACCTCATGTCTTTTCACCCACCAGGAACATGCAGATAAGGAAACTGGTGGCTAAAAAGGCCTGGATCTTAAAGGCCACTTCTGCCCACTCTTCCTTGCAGGTCATAGCCTTTTCTCCGAGCCACTACTGGGAGTCCTACTGGTATCTTAACAAGTCACAGAATGGGAGGCACAGCCAGGAGAGCTCCCCAATAGCCCCAGGCATGTGTCTCAGCAACATCAGTCATCACCCAGGCAACATGGAGTCTCCCAGCAAGAAATGACACAGAGCCCATCAATTCTTGGCCTTCTGACTGAGATTAAGTGGGGATTAGAAATTTGTACCCAGGGCTCTTGTGGAGATTGGATGAGCACTTCTCACAGTTGAAGTACCAAAGTAAGACTCAGAGTGCTCGTAACGATGCTTAGTACAGAATTAAGTACTAGAACGTTCTTATGTTCATTGGATGAAGCTTACTTAGCAAGGTGAAGTAACTCATCAAAGGCACAGAGTTTGACAAGTAAGCTAAAACTAACAGTGTTGCATACTCTTAAAAAGGTCAGTTTCTTCAAGATGCTGAGGTTTGAGCTCTGCTCTCACATCAGGCAAGTCTCGGTTTGGATGGATTCCCCATAGAATGCAGAAGTGACAGCCATACTGGAAATTTATCAGCTACAGACAGAGACTGGGGAAGCCAGGGAGCTGGGAACTGGGCTGTGTGTCCAGGAGACTCCTCTGGAGGGGAGAAGGCTAAGCTGCTTCCAGACAGGAGCCCTGGGTGAAAACCACAACATGATCCTCCAGGTATCCTCATTTTGCCGAGGGTACAGAGTTGTGAGGGTTCATAATTCCATGGGCATCACCCTCCAATGGAAGCAAGTGTCGTCTCTGTATAGCCTTCAGATGGTCACTGTCCTTGGCTCAGGGCTCCTGTTCAAAAGCCACGATGAGTGTATGCTTGTAAGATCAAACCCCTCAGCATTTTCCACCAGTTGCACAGGTGTGGGCTAGGCTATTTACCTCTGCTTTGGAGACAGACGTGTCCCCTGCTTTACAGCATTATTGGGGTTCAAAGGGAAATCTCTGCACTGTGAAGGTTCTACCTTTTCTTAGTGGACTCCGAGGCTTGTATATAGCAATAGTTTAATACCCGCTTCTTGTTGCCAGCTACGTGGGATAGGTTGTCCTCACAGGAGAAGAGGCAGAAGCCATGGCCTCAGACCTACGCTGGGAGTCCCTAGAACCCCAAAGTCAAAGTACCCTGTGATCAGACTGATAATACACCCTCAAAAGCCTACCTCATACCTTCATACAATTTATGGGGACCAATGATGGAACTAAGCAAACTTCTAACCCTTGTTCTAATTTTTTCGTTTCCTTAGAGTCAAGGCCAGAATCCCCACCTCTATGCAGAAGGACGAGTGTATATCAGAGAAGGAGACCCAGAAGGATGTCACGAATGTTTCCTACACGAATGTCAAAGTCAAGATGCATGGGTGGGAACTGGTGGAGATCTAGGTGAGCATGCATGCAGACAACCTACATGTGCCTATCCCACCCTCCATGGTACTCATGCTTGGGAAGGATGGCACAGGGCATTGCTCAGACCTGGGTTTCTCCACTCTCGACAGATGGCTCTGAGGCGAAGCTGGAAACACACCCCTGACTGGCCCTCTAGCTAGTTCTGAGTGGGCTAGATACTCCAACCTTGGGTAAAGGACCCCAGTTTCAGATTTGCTAACACAGCCAAGATCAGTACATCTCCACCTCACAGGGTCCCAAGTCCACTGGACTTGCGTTATTCCCCCCCCACACCCCAGCTCTCCAGGGCCACACAGCAGTATGTCTGTCTGCCCTCCTGGGGGCTGCTCAGCTCTCACCTCCCTGGCTGAAACTCAGACTTGCTTCCTCCAGGGGAAGCTACAAAGTGTGGAGATTGGCTGAGCTCATTCCCTGCTCTCTGCTGGCTTCACATATAAACAGCAATCCACTCCACACTGATGGGAAGAAGAAAGGGAAAGGCTTAGGCGGACCAGTGGATATAAATGGAGACCCACACCCTCTACTTGCCTGGACATCGAACTCTTGCAGGAGGCCGGTGATGGTCTGTGGAGAGATGACAGAGTCGTGGTTAATTTCCTTGGTTAGAGACAAACATTGGCACTCACAGTCCTCTCTGGTGCCTGAATCCGAACTCTGCTCAGTGGGCTTCCCTTAGTCCTTGCAAAGAGAGACTGTTTCATCTCAGGGAGCAGCAGCCCCGTGGACAATTGGCCCATCTGCTAGGTCCTATTCTGAGGACAGTTGGCCAAAATAGACCTGAAGGTAGTCGCGAGGCACAAACCTGAGTGACAGACACTGCAAGTGGCTATCCAGTTCATACGGACACCCATGTGCTGAACTCCCGGGATGCAAATTGGACCTTGTCAGTTCTGCGCTTGCAATCTCCTCCTGCCTGTCAAGGTCTGCACTCTGTATTTAAATACAGTCTTTTGTGGGGACAAAAGGATAAGGGAAACTTCAAAGCCTTTCCCTCAATCTATACATAATAAATTTCAGCCCAAACAGCTTTCATCCTTGAACAGTTTTCTATGACAAGAAGGTCTTGACTCCACTGAAGCCAGGGCAGTGTGGTTCTGGGAGGACCTGGAGCCTCACTGGTCCAGCCAGCATCTGTTAAGGATTGCTACCGGCTTATTTTCTGAGAAGACTGAATGCAAAGCGTAGAAGGCCAGGCACCAGTCGGAGCCATGAGCCTCCAGTACAGAAGATGGCACAGCAGTGTCTAATGCCCAAGCGGCCAAGGAAACAAAGCAGGGTGCAGAGGGCCACAGGGGCTGGAAAACTGTAAGCCAATCAGAACAGATGCCCTGCTCCAGGGGCTGTGACTGGGTGGTAGACAAGAGTATCAAGAGTCACTAAATGCGGATTGAAACAAAGGGGATTAATGCCTGTACTGCGTGTGTGTATGTGTGTGTGTGTGTACACGTGAGTGTGTTTTCCATAGATTTGTTTATATGCTATGCTCTTGTTCACATGTGTGCATGCCATGTACAATGAATGTATACTCATAGCTATGACTGTGTATGCCATGGATGTGTGTGTCTACTACAAGCACAAGATGGAGCAGTATGAAGCAGCTCCACTCACCTCCCCTTTTTCCACCAGAGGCTTCACCTCGGCGAGGTCCACGTCCTGTAGCTCGCGGGACATGTCCCTGCTATTACACACCTACCAGGAGAAAAAGGCCAGGAGGTCAGCACTTCCCAGTAGGATAACTTTTTTGGAATAAGCTAATACATGAACAAAACAAACAGAAAGGCCAGGCTTCTCCACTGCCCCCTAGCTCTTCCCACCCACAGCCATGACCATGCTGTGGGCTGCAAGGAAGCCTTCCTGTTCTCAACCTTTCCCAGGCTTCCTAGCAGAACTGGGTAGTAGATTTCTGAAAGAGGAAGCAGGCTTACAGTCACAGCTACAACGAAGCAGGCAGATGGAGAACCAAAAGCAGGCGCCATATCTAGTCCAGACCCATTAAGCATACCCCATGCTTCATGATACATTCTAGAAGGAGACCCCTTTACCAATCATCCCAAAAACAGACATCCTCAGATTAACCATCAAGGGACCAAAAAGCTCCTGGGTATCACCATGTACAGGTGCTATATACACCTCTGGGCAGGAGGACTCCAGGTAGTCTGACCACAGTGAAAAAATAGGACATGGGGACAAACCCAGGCCAAGGGTCTTACAGGCATTGAGTGCTTGATAGGATGTGGAAAAAGGAATCTAACACAACTGGTACTTCCTGAGCCAGACCCCACCAGGGCAAACAAGAGTGGCAATAGGGAATTCCTTGGCTCGCACTGGGGCACATACTCCTGTAAGTCAACAAATAAGGGCTACAGAAATAGACAGACACAGAGTTCAGAGCTGCTGGAAAGTCTGACCTAATGGGCTTGTGGGGAGAGGAGAGGGCAGAGGGTGATACCCACAGACCTAGGAGATAAATACACAGACTTCTAGATCCACAGTCAAGTTGGAAAAGTAAATGCCCACGGAGAGCAGGCATGGATGGGGCTCAAAGAATTCTGGAAAACAGAACGGAAGTGTCCCAGAAGGTACACAGAGTTCTGGGGCGGAGGAGAAAGCCAAGACTCGGGCCCAGGATATGATCTTCTAACCACCTATAGGCAGAGTCTGAGTTAGAAAGAATCCCAGCTGCTCAAGGACCTGTAGATTTTGCAGCAAAGGAAGTTAAAGTCTCCAAAATTCCTGAGAATCAGCTGCCCAAGCCCACAGGAACCCTGTGACCCTCATCTAGAGGTCAGCCACTCCAATACATACCCAAGCCAAAACATGGCATGCCGTGGGTGGATGGGGTGTGCTGGTCTGGGGCCCCAACGTGACTCTCCCCAGTAGATAACCACCTCACAAGAATGTCTTTATGCAGCCTTTGGGGTCTGGGATCCAGAACATTTCAAAAACAAAGTCAGTTTTATATCTGTGAACATTCCTGGGCCTCGGCCAGCTCAGAGGCAGCAGGCATGAAAAGCTATGGCCTGAGAGTCTTGCTAAATCAGCATGTTCACAGTCCTGAGACCTTAGCTGTGGAATGCCTCGCCTACACAGCCTAGAGAGACCTTCCAAAAGCCCTGGGCTCTGGCAACACCAGCTCTCATGCTGAGAGTGGAAGACTTCACAGTTCACTGGGATCCTGATATAACTCTGCTCAGCAGAGAGCCCAGGGTGAAGCTGAGGTCTTCAACTTGCCCACAGGGAGGGTTCCAACAAGCCCTCTTTAGTCCTTGACTGTGTGAGCATCACCCATTAGATAGCACCCTGCCTTGGGCTCTAGCTTCCCACCTCCAGCAGGGGGAAGCTTCAATTCCCCTTGGTTGGTCACTGGCCTGTAGAACAAAATGCCCTGCGCACTTCCTTTGCACTTACAAAGACTCATCACACACTGTAGCCTAGCTCAGTTTGGTCAGTTCTCCCAGGTTCTAGAACATAATGCCAGCCTCTACCATCTCTCTCCTCCTTCAGAAACTAAAGGAGATCAAAGCATAGCCTCTGGTTCCCTCACTGAACTTCCTGATTCACCCATCTTACGCCCTTTCCCCTTTCCCTAGACCACAGGACAAGAAGAGCTCAGTCTCCCAACACCTCAAGCACTTGCCAGACTGCTCCTTGGAGCCATAGAGCCCTCTTCCGACAGGGCTTCAACCAACTCAAGGCCTGACGGAAGCCCAAAGGTGAAGGACACTGAACATCGTCTCTACTCTGATTGATTTGTCTCCAAGAGACCTTTTCGCAGTACTTCAAGACCTTTTGTTTTTGTTTTTGTTTTTTCAAGACAGGGTTTCTCTGTGTAACAGCCCTCGCTATCCTGGAACAAGCTCTGTAGACCAGGCTGGCCTTGAACTCACAGAGATCTACCTGCCTCTGCCTCCCGAGTGCTGGAATTGAAGGCGCGTGCCACCATTTCTTTTGATTCTCATGAATGGAATATTCCTTGGAATCATCTTGATGATGAGAAACTGCTAAAGATCCTCCAGTGCACAGGACAGCAGCACGGTAAAGACCGCCTGACGCACGATGCTAACCATGCAGAGTGAGACATCTTTGTCTGGGTGAAGACGCAGAAGCTGGTGGGGAGGACCACATCTTCCAGCAGGCCAGGGGGCATGCTTGGGGACAGAATGTTCTACATATGAAAACACATGTGCTATCCAGGTCACTGTTTCCCAGTAATCAAGACTGTGCCGTAACCAGGACTACAGACACTGGGCGACCACAGGCTACTTCTGTTCCATATCTCCATCAGCTGCTGGGACCCAGAGTATCATCCTTCTCCATTCTCTCTCCTCACAGGACCAATGTGGAGGGTGGGCGGCTGCATTCCCTAACTGGCTTTGGCAGCCCAGCAAAAGCATCTTCTAAATGTTTATTTTTCCATATGCTTCTGTACAAATATAGTCTTTTTTAGGACACTCAGTAAAGAAAAACAGATTCAAAAGCAACAACAGGAGACTTGGACACAGCTAGGGCTATAGGTATGGCCATTCTGTGGGCCCTTGTCCTCCTCTCCATCCCTACCCATTCTGCTTTGCCCCTCCAAAGTTGCCTTTAGCCAGCAGCTGAATGCCATGGGCAACTTACAAAGTCCATGACATAGTCTTCGTTTCTTTCTGAAGGACATTATTAACAGCCCCTCACAGGATGAGGAACGAAAGCAACTGCAATGTTGAGGAGAATTTTCCACGTGATGGGTCTGCTTGCTGATAGAGCCATGACTGCTCCTAGGTCCTCAGTCTCCGGAGCTCAGGCTTGTGTGTGGCCCTCAGGCTCCCTCGGTAGCCAAAGTGGCCCATCTGTCTGTCCCTACATTGCCTGACTCTCCAGGATCACGAACAACTGACCCTCCAGTATGTCTTAGCACTATCACATTCAGACCCTAAGGATCTTATGATGTCCAGAAATATCCCTGGCCCTGGCTAGCCACCCCCTCAAGCTGTGACAACCCCAAATGCCTGCTGACACGGCCAAATGTCCCCTGGATGCAAAATCAAATCTGTCCAAGATTGGCTGAGCTCGGTCGTTCCTGGTATGAGGTTGGCATCCAGAAACGTCAATTAGTCACAATTCTTTAATCCAGTACACATTCAGAACCATGTACTCTTGCCTCCGAGTCTAATAACTTCCGCTCACACAACCAGCTGCAGGGATTAGAGAAGGAAGAATCTCCTCCCAGTGAGAATCTCCTACAGAGGTGGGGCCCCAGGTCTTACCACCAGCTAGCATCCTGGCTGGCACAGCTTCTTCCTGCCCCACCTGCCTACTCCAGGAGTTAAGGCCACCTGGAGTTAAATAGCAGGCTGAGGAGCAGACTCTAGTATTACCACCAGCCTCAAAACCCACGTTGTCTGGAGCTGGAGCTCCACCTCTGTGTGCTCATCGAGGTGTGCATGATGCCAGGGACATTGTAAGACCTGCTCCCAGCAAGCAGCAGGACTTATCCTCAACAAGGGATCTGCAAACAGCTGTTAAACGAGCTAGTGTCTATTCCTTCCCGAGTTGCTGGGGAGTCCCTGGGGCATTATGAGGACACAGCCTGTGCTTTACACATTGTTAGTCCTAGAATAGCCCGAGAGGGAGGAGAACAAGTAAAAAATGTTCAGTAAATGCCAAACAGCGAAACACCATGAGGTCCCTCTGATATCAGCAATGTTTGACCATGAGTGACAAGGCTCAAGAAGGCTGGGCAAACACATCTTGGTCAGCAATGAACAAGAATTCAAGGACTCCTGGCCCAGCCAGGCCAATGTTTGCTGGGAGCAGGTAGGAATGCAGCCCTGGGCTCAAAGGGCAATGTGTCGCCCCCTCCCCAACCCAAAGTCCCTTGAGAGTCATTAGTCAATCTCTGAGGACAGTGGGGACAGAGTCTGGGATTCTTAAGAACCCTCAGAGAAGTGGCAGGACATGATTAAGAGTTCCTAGCATGAGAATCATGTCACCTTCTTGCCTTATGACTCCAAGTCATCACCCCTAGGAGCTTCAGTGTGTCCACTTGCAAAGGACTGACAGGGCCCTTAGGCACACGTCCATTCCACCTTGATTTAGGGCAGAGAGTTCTGCTCTCTCAAGGTTGTTGTCAACAGGTGTGGCTAATATCCAGACCTGATATTTCAGGTATTAAGAAGTAGATCTGTTTCTACTTCAAACAAAAGTCTAAGGATCCAACTAGGTCCCTACTCCCTTAGGGAGGTAAGTATGGATTCCACCCAGGGAGTGGTTTGCCTCCAGAATGTTTTGGTCTAGGGTGTGAGCGTTACTTGTCTTATTCTGGCAACAGACTGTTTAACTAAGAATGTCGACCATAATCCTTCAACTGGTCTGTTCATTTCCCTGTATCATGTTAATGCAGTTTTTGTTTATTTGTTTGTTTTAATCTTAGTCCTACCTTTTGGGGTCAGGGTACTTAAGCAAATGGAAATTAAACACGGGTGATTTCTCAGTATTTACTGGAACTCCCTCCCGGTACTATCCAATGTTTCTGCTTTATTATTTTCACTCGTGTCTTTGTTCTCTTATTTTTCTTATCCCCATGCCCCTACCCTTTTAAGTGGTATCCTTGTCGAAGTTGATCTCCCACAAAGGATGCATATCTGTCCTTTGGACACTGCAGAAGTCCTAACAAACTTGGTACACATGGGGACCCAGGTAGGAAG